TCACAGCCTCAGACCACACAGAGCCCGGCTCGGCCCGGCCCGGCCCGGCCCGGCCCGGCCCGGCCCGGCCCGCCCTGCAGGCTCAGAACCTGAGCAGAACCGTCTCTGAGGTCACTGTAATCACAGAGGAAGCTTTAAACCCAACAATCAGCCCAAACTAAAAACAGACCCAAGTTYAGGCTTTAATCCTCCCCCAACGAGGCGGGCGATCACGTTCATCCTGCCTGTTAGCAAAATATCACTGGATCCATGATGGCTGGGATTTGTTTGAGAGGAGGAAGAAACAAGCATGAGTTTTTATCCAGGCTAACAGTTACAGCTATGAGTTTATTTTAAATATCTTCATATTATTGTTTATTTGTTTTGTTTGTTTTGTTTGTTTTCTGTGACGAGAACATGAGTCGCAATCAGGAACTTTTTAATATGAAGTTTTTATTGTCAAATTATTCATCTCAAAAGCTTTAAAATGATCCACAGTTTGTTTAAATTTACAGATTTATCACCTGAAACAGTTCAGTTTGGTTCAGGAGAGCTCTAATTTAAAATCTGGACTTTTATTGGTCTGGAGTGATGTCATCAGGATCTCCTGTTTAAAAATAAAAAATCTTTACAAGAAGGGATTTCCAACACAAAACGGTCTGTCTTAAAGGGTATTATAAAAGTTATAAAACCAACAATCAGAGCTTCAAGTTGAATTAGGAAGATTTAACTCATTCTGTCAGCAGAAAATACAAAACTTCATCTTAAAGGTTCTTAAATGTAAAATGTCTAAAGTTTTCAAAATATAAGCGTGTAGAAAATGTAAATCTGATTTAAAGTCTGATCTCTTTCTTCACACGTGACTTAACCTTCTAATGGTCTTTGTCAAACAGCTGAACAGTTAATGTTCTTCCTCTTCTAGAAGCTGATCCTCCTCCTCCTCCTCCTCCTACTCCTGCTCCTCCTCCTCCTCCTCAGGTCTCAGTTTGTCTCTCCTCCTCTCCCAGTGGCTGAAGGAAAGATGTTTTTTATCAGGCTGGTGGTTCTGCTGAGCCTCCTCTGGTTCTGTGAAGGTAAGAGAACTTGTTCTGCTTTTTGAAATTCAGTTTCAGCTGATTTAAATGTTTGAGTCAACATATTCAGCTGAACAGATACTTCTGTGTGTTTTATATTTAACTTTATTTACTAATGTTTTCTTACAGACAAACATTATTGTGCTYTGTTTTAGCTGTTAACTAGCCTTTARCATTCAGCTAGTGTTTKTAGTTTTTAGCTAACATTCTGCAACTTTTATCTATGATTTTGCCAATTTTAGCTGTGTACTTTAGTTAGCATTTTGCTGTTTTTAGTTAGCATCTAGCTATTTTCTTTTACATAATTAGGGTGTTGACATTTTTAGCTTCAAGCTGTTATTTATGGCTTTTAGTTTTTAGCTAGTTGGCACACTTGGTTTGAATTTAGCATTTTTACCTTTTAGCTAGTGTCATTTTAGCCAACATTTYAGTAYTTTAACAKGTATAAGCTAGAGTTCTGGTACTTTTAGCTTGCAGTTTGCTACATTCAGCTAGTGTTTTACCACATTTAGTTTGCATTTTGCTTCTTTAATTAGCATCTAGCTTTTTTACATAATTAGTGTGTTGATACTTTTAGCTTTAAGCTGGCAATTTATTACTTGTAGTCTTCAGCTGGTATTTGTTTTAATTTAGCAGTTTTTTTTAACCTTTTAGCTAGTGTTATTTAGCCAACATTTTTACATTTCATGTAAGCTATTGTTTTGGTACTTTTAGCTTGCRGTTTGCTACATTTAGCTGGTGTTTTGCTACTTTTAGTTTGAAGCTAGTTTTTTTTTTGAGCTCGTGTTTTGCCAATTGTGTTTTTTAGCTACTGTTTTGCTGTTTTAGCCTATAGGTATAGTGTTTTTGTGCTTTTAGCTTTAAGCTGACATTTTGTTGCCTTCATGTTGTAGCTGGAGTTYGGCTTCTGTTAGCTTTAGCATCAGTTTCAGCTCCTTCATTAGTAGATTTGTTTGGTTAATAAGGAGGGACTGAACTTATAACAGAAGATAAAGTTTGATCCTGCAGATTATGGAGGACAGCAGGGATCAGGTTATTTAAAGACGTCTCCGTCTGTTTCACTGGGGGACGTCTGGTTCTGGTTCTGTTTGGGACCGTCAGCTGTGGGTCACACTGTCTGTTCAGCGTTTCTGTCTTCAGTGGGATTGGGCCCGTTCCCCCCTGACCCCGTCCTTGCTGTTTGAYGGGAAGCTGGAGTCGGGGCAGGTGGTGATGGGATGAGGAGTTTTTTATAGCAGCTGATCCTCCTGAGGCCGGACTGTGTGTTCTACTTGTGGAGTCAAACGTCACACGCTCCTRCAGCACAAAGCTTCTGGAAATGTTGATTTATCTGAACCTGCTCACAGAAAACTCTGAGTTTCCGTTGATAAAACCAGTCCTGTTTGGATCTGCAGCTCGGACTTCTCGTCTGAACCAGGATTTTAAGAAATTTAACAGTTTTTACACAATTAGTTTACATGTAAATATTGGTTTTTTAGATTTTGATGATGTGACAGTGAGTTTTTTTAATGTTTCTTCTTTCATCAAGTGTGTCACCACCCCAGAATGACTCCCATTGACTCCCGCTGACTCAGATTGACTCCCGTTGACTCAGATTGACTCTCGTTGACTCAGATTGACTCCCATTGACTCAGATTGACTCCCATTGACTCAGATTGACTCTCATTGACTCTCGTTGACTCTCATTGACTCTCATTGACTCTCATTGACTCAGATTGACTCCCATTGACTTTCATTGACTCTCATTGACTCTCATTGACTGTCATTGACTCAGATTGACTCCCATTGACTCAGATTGACTCTCATTGACTCTCATTGACTCTCATTGACTGTCATTGACTCAGATTGACTCTCATTGACTCAGATTGACACAGATTGACTCTCGTTGACTCCCATTGAATCCCATTGACTCCCATTGACTCTCGTTGATTCAGATTGACTCTCATTGACTCTCATTGACTCTCATTGACTCTCATTGACTCAGAATGACTCTCATTGACTCTCGTTGATTCAGATTGACTCCCGTTGACTCAGATTGACTCCCGTTGACTCTCATTGACTCTCATTGACTCAGATTGACTCTCATTGACTCAGATTGACTCCCGTTGACTCTCAGTGACTGGCTGTATGTTTGTGTAGTTAAGTCTTTTTGTAACGTTTTATAAACACATGACCATCAGAACCTACTGCCACTCAATGTTCAAGGATATTTTTATTTAAATRWTTGTCTGAGGCTTACTTTCTGCTGTGTGTTTCTGTCTGTCACATTAAGAGGTGTGTTGTTACCATGATAACCCTAATGAACCACTAGCATCACCAAGCTTTAGCTCAATATCTATAAAAATTACTGCATTGGAGCCATATGTTTTGTGTTAGCTGAGGGGGATGTTKTGGCRGCCATCTTGAATTTTGTTTCTGCCGATGGTTCTCCAGGTCAGGAGGAAACCGGACCGAGGTCCTGCGATGACTTCACAGACCTGGACCTGTCCCACTGCTTCCTGGGAACCAGCCTCTACGTGCGGCTGCTGCTCTACACCCGCTCCAACCTGGACTGCGGACGCGAGATAAACCACCACCACCTGTCCTCCCAGCCRCTCCTCGACCTCCGCCGKCCCACCGCCTTCGTCATCCATGGCTACCGGCCCACCGGGGCCCCGCCCATCTGGATCAACCACATTGTGCACCTGCTGGCCGARCAGGAAGACATGAACGTCATCGTGGTGGACTGGAACAGAGGGGCGGCCAACCTCAACTACTTCACTGCCGTGACGTACACCAGAGAGGCGGCGCATAACCTGACGGGCTTCATCAGAGTCATGCAGGTAAGATATTGACTCTACGGGAGAAACAGACCCTGTAGAGCTCCTGACGATGATGGTTGTCCGTCTGCAGGAGGAAGGAGCTCCTCTGAGCTCCGTTCACCTGATYGGGGTCAGCCTCGGAGCTCACCTGGCTGGATTCGTCGGGGCGAACCTGAARGGGAAGATTGGTCGCATCACAGGTGAACCCATGAAGATGAATAAAAATAAAAACGTAAAATGTGTAGAATCATGTAATTATTTAGAGGTTATTTAACGTTGAGTTGATGTGGTTTCATCAGGTCTGGATCCAGCCGGCCCCATGTTCACCAGCGCCACTCCAGAGGGGAGGCTGGACCCCTCAGATGCCATGTTTGTGGACGTTCTCCACACCGACATGAACTGTGAGAACAAAACTGAACATTCAGGTTCTGGGGTGGCATTTTGTTTTATTCTAGATTTGACAATTTAAATTTGGTTTCAGCATTCGGACTCAGAGGAGCTCACGGTCACATCGACTTCTACGCCAACGGTGGAGCCGACCAGCCAGGATGTCCAAAAACCATCTTTTCAGGTAGAGAAGACACAGACTCAGATCCTCAGAGCAGGACCAGGTGATGATGATGATGATGATGATGGTTAACTCAAATATGAACTCTTTGTCCTGCAGGTAAATCTTACTTTGTTTGCGACCACCAGCGCTCGGTCTTCCTGTTCCTGTGCGCTCTGAACCGGACCTGCCAGCTCACCGGGTACCCCTGCTCTTCCTACAGCCGCTTCCTGGATGGCCAGTGTCTGCAGTGTGAGGCCTTTAAACCTGCTTCCTGTCCCGTGCTCGGTATGTGGTGGGGCTCAAAAACTGTACGGCACAAGTAGCCAACAGTTAAAACCTTCTCTGGAGATACCTGACCCTGAACCTGAACCTGAACCTGAACCTGACCCTGAACCTGGTGTTGTTTTTAGGATACAACGTCAGCCAGTGGAGGGACGCTCTGGTGCGACTCGGACAGACCAAAGTCTTCTTCAGCACCACGGCCTCCCTGCCCTACAGGAGTGAGTCCTGAGACAAAAAMMACCAGCAGAAGGTTCTGATTGAAGGACGTGTTTTAGTAAAACTGATTCTGGGTCTGGTTTGTGGCAGAGCTGGTCTACAGAGTGGACATGGTGACGTGGAACCAGTACCTCCGCTGGGGGATGGTCTACATCCGCCTGCACAGCGGCAGGACCTTCACCGAGGCCCGGATAGACCAGTGAGTCTTCTTTATATTTTATATTCTGTCATCTTCTAAACTAGTCCTGATCCACGCTGATCTCCAGAACCCAGACCCACCTGGGTGTAGGATTCTGAGCCCAATTAAAGCCCCTAAAAGTTTCTCCTCTTACTGTTTCCTGGCAGTAAGCTCCTCCGGTTCGAGCAGTACACCTCCACCCGCATGCTGGCTCAGTTTGACGAGGACCTGCTGCCGATCCAGAAGATCTCCATGCGGATCAGCACCGGGAACATCATCGGMCCTCGCTACAAAATCCGGCTGCTGAGGATTCGCTTCACGCCGTTGGAGCATCCAGACCGGTTTGTGTGAACCAGAAACACTTTGTAGAACTTTTTATTGGTTTATGACAGGATTTAATTTATTGGTTTCATTTTGACGTTATTTTCTCCTCAGGCCTCTGATGTGTCGTTATGACATCATCATGGAGGAGAACATGGAGGTGGCCTTCAGACCTCTGCCCTGTGGGTCTCATCTCTGATGATCAGACCATCACAACTCTTCTTCTACTGGAGGGGAAACACATCTGACTATTTAAAACCACAGAACCAGGCCTGTTCTGGATCAATCCAGGACTTCTGACTTCCATGGACCACAACCACATGGAGCTCCAGGGCCTCCTGTCTACTTGGACCACCAACATATGGAACTCCAGATCCTCCTGTCTACATAGATCACCGCCATATGGAGCTCCAGATCCTCCTGTCTCCATGGACCATCACCCTATAGAGCTCTAGAGCCTCCTGTCTCCATGGACCACCACCCTATAGAGCTCTAGAGTCTCCTGTCTCCATGGACCACCACCCTATAGAGCTCTAGAGTCTCCTGTCTCCATGGACCACCACCGTATGGAGCTCTAGAGCCTCCTGTCTCCATGGCCCATCACCATATGGAGCTCCAGATCCTCCTGTCTCCATGGACCATCACCCTGTAGAGCTCTAGAGTCTCCTGTCGCCATGGACCACCACCCTATAGAGCTCTAGAGCCTCCTGTCTCCATGGACCACCACCCTATAGAGCTCTAGAGCCTCCTGTCTCCATGGACCACCACCCTATAGAGCTCTAGAGTCTCCTGTCTCCATGGACCATCACCATATGGAGCTCCAGCTTCTCAACCAGGAAGTGAGAAATTGATGTGTTTTAAGACCAAGAAACAGAATTTTTAAATAGAACTTCTGCAGCTAAAAGCAGCTAAAGTTAAAAAACAACAACTTTAAAACCTCCAGAAAACTTTCATCAACGCCACTCTAATGAAGTCTTGATGCTTTGAAGGAAAGGAAATTTTAAAAATGAGACTTGGCTCAAGACTTTTGCACTTTACTTTGTTTTATTCAAAATACAGACACAACTTTCCCATCTAACCCTATAACTGTATATTTATTTTCTTAAACGTTAAGAAGCTGTGTGAGCCTTAACTTTAACAAYGATGATTCATATTAAACATCTGTGCCTTTTATCTGAAACCTTTCCTTTTCTGTCTCTGCTTCGTTAAAATGTGGATAAAACCAGATGTTTCAGAGGAGGCTGCAGGGATGTTTAATGCTTTTGTGTTGAAAAGCTACACATTTATGTTTGTAAAGTTAAACAGAAGAAGAAAACACTGTGASTACATGACTCAGCAGCTTTTTTCTTGTGCGCAGTTTGTGAAAAATATTGTTAAACTTCAGTTTTCTTACCGTTTTGTTTGTTTTTTCACTTTGTTTGAAATAAAACGTTCAGTAAATCACAAAAATCAAAACTGTCAGCTTGCCTTGAGGTCAAACTAAATTAATTTATATAAAAATAAAACAATGTTTTGTAAAGTTTACTGTTGTTGTCTTTTTTTTTTCAAATGTGCAGAAATGGTAATAAACACACATAGACATATGTACAAAAACATTTTTTTTTTAATTTTGGATTACGTTTTGTAAACGTTTGTTTCCCAAAGCTAGAAAACAAACGTTTGTAACACAGCTAAACTTAGATTTTAAAAATATAAACAGATTACACATCGGCAAAAGTTTTATTTTTCTAATTAGATGCAACTTTGCACCCATATGAACACTAACATAGCTCGCGAGATCTCGCGATAACAGACGAGAACATCTGATTACACACAATTATTGTGTTTATTTTAGTCTGTTTGCTTTTATAACGCTGCCTGCAGTGGTGTGTGTGTGTGTGTGTGTGTGTGTGTGTGTGTGTGTGTGTGTGTGAGCAATGAAATCATCTCTGACCCATTTTACAGCTGCCAGAATCACTTGGCTCTAATTATGACGTAACACCGCCGCTGATGGAGGGGAGGGCAGGGGGGCTTTTCGGACTCGGCACGTGCGTTCCGACACGAGCCGATGACAGCCGCKTAAGGAACTAAGGAGCGATTGTTTGAAGAAAAACAATAACGCTCAAAAYCATTCTGAGTAGGCTAAAAGGCAAATTACATTTTAAAATCCGTTAAACCGAGAGGAGTATATCCCTCCGCCACGCAGCAGCTACCTGGTTGCTTGGAGACGCAGGGCGGCGCATTAATATGTAAATTAGCCAAGTGGTGAAGCGGTCGCAGGTTTGTATTTWTGTTGTAAATCGGACAAAATGTTAATTAAAAATGTTTTTGTTTTTATATTAAAAGACAGTTTTATAAAATAACCTTTAGCCTAAAAATGATAAAAGTTTGTTAATGTTTAAGGCATATGTGCGTCATATGTTGTGTTTTTTAAAATAAAAATCGATTAAAGTAGAAATTAGCCATTAGCTTCAGAAGTTGCTAGCTTGTTTAATATGAGCAGTGTTTTTAATAATTTRAATATAGATGTAGAAAACAGGGCAGATATGTTTAATATTCTTSTCCTCTCCTCTCTGTAGCCATCAGCAGCTGTTTCTCAGTCTTTTCCTGAGTCACAGTGTCGAACCGGGTCGAACCGGGAGGATCTAGCTGTGAATTCTTCTGCTCCGGTTCCGGTTCGGTTCCGCTGGTGGTGAAAATACTCCATGACCCAGGTGGTTCCGAGGCGCGTGGACATGACAGGTAGGTGGAGGTGTATTTTACATACCTGTCATCCAGAATAAATGTATTTATTTATGTTGAAGACAGAAACAGGAAGTGGGTGCRCTGCATCAACAAAACTCCTTATTTTTAAGATATTTTCACAATAAAGTGTCTGACTTAACAGGTAGAACTGTGCAGTATTTGTGTTTTAAAATTATAACTATTATCTATTATTAGAAGCTAATATGAGATGTATAAAATAGGTCCAGATATATTGTTTTAAAGTCCTAAAATCATTGCATTTAATATTAATGTTTCAGACTGTTTTAAAGTWTGTGTTGAAGATGACTCTCAGCTACTACCACAGCAAATTTCAGCTCAATATGTGTAAAATCGGCTGATTTGTGGCCATTTTTGTGTTTCTAAGGTCATATGGCTCAGGTGTTAATCAGACTGAGTCCAAAATTAAAATAGTTTTAGATAAACATCTAATTATTATTTCCTGAAGGTTTCATTAAAATCGGTCCGGGGGCTCGTGAGATATTTTGCTAACAGCCATAAAAACATCATCATCATGTTATTATCGCACTCTCTACAGGCTAATCCAGTTTTATTTAGTTTTTATTTTTGAATCTTTTTAGTTTTGACCCTCAGCATCGTTAGCCTTGGCAATTCTGCTGTTAGGCTATAAATAAAATCATGTCTTATAATAATAATCAGGGTAGTCTTTAGTTGTGATGAGGTTTTAACTGAAAACGAAGCAAAGCAGAGGCTGAGATTTGCATAAATTTGCACATTTGATGACAGCTCTATAAACGTCTCTACCTGCTGTTTGATGTCCTCTCAGCTTTTTAACTCTCAGTCCGTCACRCTGACAGGCCTCACCGAGACGTTTGACCCCAGCAGCATCAGCAGGGGGTTTATTTGATTCAGACGTCAGAATAAAGCCGTACGATTGGCTGTCCTCTTCCATATTGTATGGAAGTCACGTTTGCTGTACCAGCGTTATATTTTTAGCTGTTTCTGCCTCTCGGCCAGCGTGAATCATGTGTGTGTCTCTAAATCGCAGCTCTGCTCCCTCCTTCTGCTTCTCCACACAACAAGAGGCACTCTTCTCCTTCCCCGTCACCGTCCAGTCCTACAGGTAAACACCTCAACATCCTGCGTCACGCAGGCTGATTATAAACCCTTTACTTTTTTCTTTAACGTATTTCATCAGCGGAGAGAGAGGATGTTGTATGTTTTCAGGAAACTAATCAAAGCTAATCTTAGATAAATTAACTTTTGTTCGCCTCAGGCTCTCGGCTGCTGTTAGCTAAAGAGCGACAGGAGGACACGCTGAAGATGAGAGGTAAATATCTCAGTCCAGCTGGTGGCGCTGTTTGTTCTCTGGGTCTGTGTTTACCTGAGCTCACAGATCTGAGAGGACAGTAACCTCTGGCCCCGGCCTTTGTGTCCCTCAGAGCTGACGCAGGAGCTGCAGGACAAGGAGCTCCGCGTCCAGCAGCAGCTGGAGCGCCGCGCTGAGGAGCGGGGGAGGAAGATGGAGGAGCAGAGGAGGAAGGAGCAGCGGCGCAGTGCCGCAGCGGGGGAGAAGAGACGCCAGCAGCAGGAGGCCGACAAGGTCAGAGGTCACAGGCCACGACACAGACGAGACGATGTCATGATGTGGATTTGAGACGGAAATACTTAATTTAGTGTTTTTATGTTCAAATCATGTGAAAATGTGTTTACATCAGGAAACATCTGGTTCAGGAAGATTTAATCAAAAATACAATAAGTTTATTATCTCCTGCCACCAGGTGATCCTGTAGTTTCCTGTGTCTCCATGAACAAGTGGACAGATTTTAATATCATCTCTACAGCTGATTCCAGCCCAGCTGGTTTAAATAAAGAGAAAATAATTTAAAATTAATTCATGTTTTGATCATTTTAAGGTGTTTTATATTGTCTTTAAAGTAGATCAGTTCATCCTTTGAGTTTAAACCATAAATATTCAAACTCAGGAAGTAACATCGTGTTTAATTACATAAATGAGAACCACTTCCTGTCAGCTGACAACCTGCTTGGGTTGTTTCCTGCGTCGTGCTGTAGTATAATAATGTTCTAATGGTCAGCTGGTCTGATGACATCATCATCGGATCAGGTGGCGTTGACTGGAACAGTCGATGAGTCCACCGCTGAGACGACAGGAACCAGACCAGATCACAGACCGATTTAGAGGAAAAAAGTCCCTTTGATGTGGATTTAAAGTATTAATTAATACATTTTTTTAAGAAAAACCCTAAAAATCATTGTTTTAGATTTTATAAACAGAAACTAAGTTTAAAAATTGTTAAAAAAATTTTAATGTGTTAAAATTCTTTCATATCACTTTTTTAAATTATACGTTTT